TAGATTTTGTCACCGGGGAAATACACATAAGAGCAATCCTGAAACTGCTAGAACTTCAGGTAGTACCCAAACATCCTGTATGTAGCCCTCTGGATTTTCCTAGAAGTTATCATTGAATGGGCTGTGTGCAGAGATTCCATTTGAAGACAGTTCCATTGCATCTGGATTGGAATCAGGGTTCCCCAATCAAATTGGCAAATCCATTTAAAAAATTGTTATATCATTGCTTGCCTCCAAATCAGTTGAGATGATTTGGGCAACTTCTCTACATACATGCAGCAATATTTCTTCAAAATCGATTCCAAAGTCTGGCTGATTTGATTTCAGACATCCAGACCAAACCAACTGCAAACCTCAACTGAAATTAATTCAAACTGGGTTTTGCCTTCACACATTGCTGAGGTAATTTTTCATCTAACAGATGGTAGAAATTATTTAGGAAAGAGACATAAGAGTGTACTGCTGTAAGTGGGATCAAGCATCATAATCACCGATGATGTCCTTGATGTTGGGAACTGGTGATCCTGATATGATTTACAAGCCTCAGAATAAGTAACAAAAAGTTACTCCTAATTATTTTATCATAACTTAGAGCACAACAAACTGAAAGTGCCCTGTGAACTAATTATTCTTGTTATATGTCTGGATGCAATGAGATTCTGTCCAGCTCTGTTAATTTTTCTAAAACCATCTAGTTTGTAATACAGGTAATCTTTGACTAAAAACAATTCATTTAGTGACCGTTCAAAGTTACAACAGCACTGGAAAATGTGACTTATGACTATTTTTCATAGTTACGACCTTTGCTGCATCCCCATGATCATGAGATCAAAATTCAGATGCTGGGGAACTGGTTCATATTTGTGACCTTTGCTGTGTCCTGGGGTCATGTGATCACCTTTTATGACCTTTTGACCAGCAAAGTCAATGGGGAAGCCAGATTCACTTAACAACTGTGTGGCTAACTTATCAACTGCAGTGATTCACTTAATAACTGTGGCAAGAAAAGTCGTAAAATGGGGCAAACCTCACCTAACAAATGTCTCACTTAACAGCAGAAATTTGGGGCTCCGTAAGTCGAGGACTACCTGTATAACATGAGGTTTACATGCAAAAAAATGAACTTGTATCACCATATCCTGATATGGTTTCAAATCCTGTGATTCATATCCTGCAGTATACACATTTTCATCTTTCAGTGGGACATAGGTAGAAAGGATGGGGATTGTGTTGTGATGCTCCCATATGCCTTGCCATTTCTTCATCATCACGGTTGACAGCAGATGACAACAATGCTACATTTTGATGTTCATAGGATACTATTGGATGGACCTGATTAAGGAATTCTGCCCGGTCTTGGAAAGACAATTATATTATAAAGGAACACTGAAAGCGAGAGTTAGTTAGAAGTTAGAGTGTTCTATTTAAATATCTTCCCAAGTAATTTGAATAATTCATAGTCAGGGATGAGACAATCAAATTGGTCATCGATAATCACAAAGCATCTCCCATCTGCAAGAATATGCATACTATGAGGTGAGTCAAAGGGAGACAGCTCATAATAAAATTAGCACCACTCAAAAATAACTAACAATGGGATGGGGGTGGGGGAGATACATATATAATAATGGGAAGTCTCTGAATGCTATATTAGCCTATCTTGCCATGTTCTCTCAACATAAGGATCTGGTCTTTTACCTTTCTTAAAATCCAAGCATGAGTCCCCAGTTGTATCCCTCATGCCACAGAAAGACACCTGATTGCATTCCAGATGTTCAGCCTTCATCTCCAAAAAATTCCCCAGTTAAAATGACCACTGTTGAGAACTGAAAAAAACTGAAGCCCACTAACTGGAGGGCACTGACATTAGAAAGGTCTGCTTTAAAGAGTACAGCCAACTCCACCAAAGGAGACGATGCAAACAACAAGGTATTTATCTCGTGTGTTCCTGTTTCCTGAGATTCATTTGGATAATATTTTGCTGAAAGAGATTGCTGTGAGATAACTACCACTGCCCTCCAAATAACGCAATGTTAAAAACAAAACAAAATAACATTTTTACTACAGTGTTGTTTTTTTAAAAAAAAATTGCAACCCTCCAAATTTGGAGAAATTGAAAGGGTTTTAAAGAGGCCACCCTGGGATGTTTTTGCAATTCTCCAGTCTAGTCTGTAACCCTGAGATTTCTGGTAGTCTCTTTTCCAAGTACCAAACAGATTTGACTTGCTTGACTATGTAGGTTAGCTAAGCTTAGTTAAAAGGGTTTTCTTCAACACTAAAAATATATTAAAATACACACTGTACATCTGTTTGTAGATGCCGAACATCTTTTCATGGAATCTCATGAAGAGGGATTGAGGTAGCAATTTTGAGTGTTTAACTCTTTCTATGCTCCAGCCATGAAGAACCTTGAAGATCAATCCATCATTCTAGCAATGGCCTTGGAACCAATAAAAATGATAAAGTCTGTTCATAAAACCCAGTTAATAATGTTTTCATCATAAACTGGTCCAGTTTCTAGAGAAATATGAGACTGACCCACTTACAAGGCATAGCAGGAATCTGAGTGTGTGAATGTGTCCCTCTGAAACAAGACTTGCCCGTTCTGGTAGGTAAGCTTGCAACTAGCAGTCAGGATGCATCTATTAGCACACAGAGTCTCCTCTTTAGGATGAACATCTAGTAAAACAATGAGTTTACTTTGGTGAGGATTAAATTTGGGGGGGAAAAACCAGAGATTGTTTATAACTTCTGGGATGTTCTGCCAGGTTGTGATTCAGGTTTTGTGGGTTACACCCCAACCTACATAATGATTATATGGCGTGGAAGAAGACAGAAGCAGCAGTAGCTGCTGCCTTTTTGCTTCTCAGAGCACGAGTCCTGCAGAGGAAACTCTCTGGGTCCTGGTCGTGCCTCTGAGGATATATTTTCTTCCAATTAAAAATCACCAATGATAATGCTCCTAAAAAAACACCATGAGACAATACATTAGGGTTTTTTTGTCAAAATGCTAAGTTTATTAACAAGCTAAGAAAAATATTGTGTGGTTGTACGGCTTTTTTTTTTAAAAAATATTGTATATATATGTTTCTTGTATTTTGCTTGGTTTTTATATAGTTTTAATTGCTGTGACTGACCCTGAGTCAAACATTTGAGATGTAAAGTTATATAATTGAAATAAAAAAATTAAAGTCTTTTAAAAATCAAATCCCTACTAACACAACTAAAATGACATTGTTAGGTATGGGGAATTGCTCTTGTTGAAAAAGTTATTAATAAAATTTGAATGTTAAGTTTACAGTGGGGTGCATCACATTTTTATCAGGAAGACAGAAAGATTATACACAATGCATATACATAAATGTACACATACATATACAAAACATATAGATACACACATATGACGAGAGATAAAAAACGTGAACACCAGGAAAAGTTTAAAAAACTATAAAAGTTTTAATAAGTTAAAATCCTAGCTTTCGCTGCCCACTGCCAGCATCATCAGGGATCAATCCAGGTCGATGGGAGCGCTTATTTATACAAGACCAAGTTGTCTTTTATCTCTCGTCATGAGCACACCCAGGAATCACCCTTCTATTTTTAGTACTGTTTTTAAGATACACACATATACGCATACAGAATTTTGGAATTAAAAATTTTAGGAATTTAAATTATACATAATTTAAAATTAAATCTATAGTATATAATAAAAACAGCACACTCTTGTGATTACATATGAATTTGGATGTGTGTTGTTATTGGATGTAAAAGTATCTTAAAAAATTAAAAACAAAACACCTAGTTGTTCTATAAATTAATATGAACAGAATTTTAGCTGTGGCGTAATTTGTGTTTACAATAAACGCTGCTGCCTTCTGATGCTTAACTCTTGTAAATGTGTCTTGAATGGAAGCTTTATAAGCATTCTTAAATCAATTTTGAACTCAACCCCCCTTTCTCATTAACAAAAGTAATATTGAGTCTCTTTAATACATTTAAATTATAGGAATAATTATCAAAACAGTCTGTGATTAATATATATATGCATATATTTGTGTGTGTTATATATACATATGTATATATGATAAAACCAATAAATATTGATCACCAAGAGGAAAGTAATAAATAGTAAAAAGTTTAATGAGCCGAGCTTTCGTTGGGCCCACCCAACATCATCAGGGCTTTAAAAGTAGTCACTGGGAAAGAGCTTTTATATGATGTTAACAGCCTGCATCCAGCTTCTGGAACATGTCACCGGGCCCAGCTGTTCGTGTTGTATCCTACATGCATTATCCATATCAACGCATGATGTTTTTCCATACCTCCTCCGTAAACTTCAGGGGTGGAAGTTTTTAATATGTGCCCGTGTGTTCACAGAAAAAAGTGACAATAAAGGTTATCGTATCATCTTACAACGTTCAGAAACACAAAATCCAAAGACTTGCCAGCGTCAACCAAGTTTGCCATTTTATTTGGGAACCCAATCTGACTGTTTCGGGGGGTGTAAAAACCCATCAAAAGTGATGATGATACAACCAAAGTCCCTAAAAAAAACACTCTTTGATTCGAGCCCGCTTCCCGATCGCCAGATCTTTGCGGGATAGAGAAAGGGTTGACCGGGGTCATCCACCGCAAGGCCCCCCAAAGCTACCGGGAGTTTCCGAAGAGGCAGCCGAGCGGCTCTCTCGGCGAGGCAAAGAGTTGGGTTGCCCTGGGGGAATTTCCCACAACCGCCTGACAGCCGGCCAAGTGGGCGGGTCAGGACTTGCCCCTCCGTTCCCGGCTGGGCTATGCGCGGGGTGGTGCTCTTCTTCTCAGCTCCGGAGGCACCGAGAGGCTGCTGGCTTGGCTCCTTTTGACATTCACCGGAAACGAGGGAGACTCCGGGCGCCCGGACAACCGCGCCTGCCCCGCCAGCCGGCGAGCAAAAGCCTCGCTCCTCCAAAGCGCATCTGGGCAAGCTCACTGGCGAGCGGACTTGAGGGCGCCGAGGGGGGGGGACCTTCTCGGTCGGCGGGCGCCGCCAATTGGGTGTCCCCATAGGAAGGTAAGGAGGCCGGCTGGCTGGCTGTGGAAAGCGGAGGGCGCGCTTTTAGGGGTGGAGATTAGCCGGGTACTCTTGGTGGGGGGGGGAGCGACGTGCAGAGGAGACCCGAGGGACTCTTGGTCTCCTGAAATGGCGGGCACGCGCGCCCTCCCTTTCTTTGGTCGGATGGGGAGGGGGGGGAGATGGCGTATTCGGCCTTTCCTTTTTGACCCGGTCGAGCAGTAAATGGCTGGAGGCTCGTTAAGCCTAGTACAATCTTCATTTTTTTTTTTTTTTGCGCGAGAGAAAGCACTTTGCGCAATCCGTGTGACCTGTTTTGTGGACTTGGGCGATGGGAAAGAAAGCTGCGTGGAGCTCCTGGAAACGGGGACGTTGCATTCTCGGACCCTTGGGTCGTTCGGTGCATTTGATATAAGTTGGGTTTTTTTCAGCGTTGAAAGAATAATTTTCTCTCTTGCTTTCAACGCACTTTTTGCACATTACCACCTTCCGTCCGTCCCTCCCTCGCTGTCTCCCCAAACATAACAGTCAGCCATAATGCGCTGCTGATTTGTTTTGCAAAATTGGGCATAAGGTATACTTGAGTAACCTCACCATTGTAGTGAACCTCAGGGTGACTAAGTGCATCTGTCATATCCTGTGGTTTAGGCATTTCCTATCCTGACAGTTTCACTGGACGTCCTTTGAAGTGCTACTGTTTTATCACTCCCCCCCCCTTTCCCCCTGGGAAATCCAGCCAAGTTTAAAATAAAAAAAAACTAAGTTAACAAAACTTTTGCTTTGAAGGGAAAAAAAATCCAGTGCTTTCTTAATTTTTCCCCCCTCTCCTTTTTTGAACGTTGTAAAACGATGTCATGTGCTCTTATGCAACATTTTGGAATGTCTTTAGAATAACTGGGGGGAGTAGCATAAATCTGACAGTCAGATGTTTGATGTGCTTACTCAGAAGTAAGGTTGGTTGAGTTTAAGCTGTGGCATGAGGACTAGTGACACTGGCCCAGAAAGTTGTAACATTAAAATGCAAACATTCCAACGAAGAGAACCATGCTTTGATGTGGAAAATTAAAAGGGCTGCTTGCTGCTGCTGCTGCCCTTAAGAAGTGTAGGGGAGCTAGGCTATTTGTGCCAGTGTGACTTTAAATGCCTTGTTTCTGGATCACAGTTTATATCAGCCTTGTGCAATGTGATGGCTCTGTATAGGATAAATGGCATTTCCTGACATAGTCATATTGACTAGGAATTTATCTATTTATCTATTTTTAGAGCTCGTGTAAAAAGGTTGCAATAAGGAACATACTGAATGGTGTCATTGTGACCTTATATTGAAATGCATAATCAATGTAATTGTACTTTGGAGTAGTTCATTAAAAAGCATGAACCGTTTTAATTATGGGTAATGTTTTTAGAGGACAATATCGTTTTATGAGGTTAACGATAAATATTGGCCTATATGTCTGTTCTTTATCTTTGAGTTACAGGATAGACCATACAGTTATCTTGAAATGCAAGTGCTTGTAATATTTCTTCAATGTTCACTTTGGGGCTGGATGTTCATGTAGAAGCTAAACAAGGCGAGCCTATTTAGTACTTGGGTTGGAGACAGAGTTGTAGATTTAAACTAGAAAATCAAAAAAACATCCCTGATGAAGACAGTAACACATGTTTTCCATATTGCTCTCAAGAAAACAACATGTCCACATTCCTAAAGTCATCCCAAATCAAACTTGACTGGAACTGGGTGCAGCCAAGCATAGGGGTGCTATAAATAGTGCAGTTGGATGATACTACATGTGTTAATTTTCTGTTTTAGTGCCTTTCTACTTTTTCTTTCTTTGAAAGAGGGAGGCCAAAATGCCATAACTCTTTTTTTCCAATGCCTATCCAATAAAGTAGATTAGGGAGAGTAATAGTGAATTTCTTAACATCACACGGTGAACTTACTACAATCTCTATGGTCAAAGTCTAGTATTCCGATAACAATTAATATGCAAGGCCATACAGAGGTTATTCTAAGACTGTTGGAGATTATCTGGTCTTCCACCAATTCCCCCAATACAAACTACTGGCAGTTTATTACAAATAACTTGAATCAAAGAAAAGAGACTTCTGCACATGGCAGCATTAAATACAGCAGATATAGCAACACCTCTGGGGATTAACTTTTTTATATTATGTAGCAACCATGTAAAATGCAGTAATATGCAGTGACAAAAGAGAAAACCTCTGATTTCCTCTTCCTTCCTGCACTTTCTCCTCCGTACAACGCTGGGCCTGGCAGGCTTCCCAGCAGCCTTTTGCTCTTGTCAAGTGATTGCATAAAAATCACATGGCAGATCTAGAAACTTTGGTGTTAAGGAGGCTATCATAGCATTACAGATTTCTCAAGAGACAGTGTGGAAAAATATGGTCTGATTGCTCCGTACAAGTAGTCCTCAACTTACGACCACATCTGAGCCCAACATTTCTTTTTTTTAAAAAAAAAAATAAATGAGCCCAACATTTCTGTTGCTAAGTGAGACATTTGTTAAGTGAGCTTTGCCCCATTTTACAACCTTCCTTGCCACAGTTGTTAAGTGAATCACTGCAGTCGTTAAGTTAGTAACCCGGTTGTTAAGTGAATCTGGCTTCCCCATTGACTTTGCTTGTCAGAAGGTCGCAAAAGGTGATCACATGACCCCGGGACGCTGCAACTGTCATAAATAGGAGTCAGTTGCCAAGCCTCTGACTGTAAATCATGTGACCACGGGGATGCTGCAATGGTCGTAAGTGTGAAAACAATCATATGTCACGTTTTTCAGTACCGTTGTAACTTCAAACGGTAACTAAATGAATTGTAAGTCGAGGACTACCTGTATTAACAGAGTGCCTTTAAAACTTTTGAGCATTGCTTTAGGGCAGGGGTAGACAACCTCGGCTCTTTTATAACTCATGGACTTCAACTCCCAGAATTCCTGAGTCAGCATGGCTGACTCAGGAATTCTGGGAGTTGAAGTCCATGAGTCATAAAAGAGCCGAGGTTGCCTACCCCTGCTTTAGGGAGATTGTCCAAATGTGCAGGGCTGGATATGCTGCAGTACTTTGGAAGAATAAACTGATGACAGATCCAGGGATTATGAGATCATATCCAGCTACTGTACAAGCAGAGCTTCTTCCTTCCTCTTCCTGAATATCATTGTCTATTATGCCTCTTCTTGACTAGAATTTCCCTTGCCTGATCATAAACCATTCCTATCAGCCTTTGGGGAGCAAGCTTCTGCAGTATTTTTTTGTTGTTGTTGCATATTCAGCTTCCAGCATAAATCAAAGAGATCTTCAACATAAAAGGGGTGCAAAATTCAATTTTCTCCAAAAGTTAAGTATCCTATCCATACTCTAACCCTGCCTCTACTGTAAATAAAAGGCAGAGTAGGGATTGCAACACATCACTTGAAAACGTGGTCTGAAATAGAGGTTTCTCCTTTCTAAAGCCAAATTCCTCTCCATAGAGGAATTGCACGCTGGGTATAACCACAAAAGCATGATAGCAATTACATTCACCTTATGTAGGAAAAAAAAAAAGAGGTTCATAGAAGATGCGGTGTCACGAACAAACACGGAAGACCTACAGTGTCTACGATCTGCTCTCATAAGGACTTAGGTATACATCACGGTTTTCTAAGAGAGAGAAGGAAGAGACTTCCGAAAGTCCTCGAAAACATTCGATTAAGTCACCGATTTATACTTTCTACGGACTTAGAGTTTTACCTCTTATTTATGGGAGTGAGTCAGAGGTGGATCATGGTGCATTGCTTTATCGCAAAACCAGTTTTCATTGCTGAAACCCTGTTCTGTGAAATTTAGGTCTTTGTAAAGCAAAACATCAAAGTAAAGAATTCCCTAACCAGTTTCCAGTTGGAGAGATTATTTCTCTTGATTAGGACTCCACATGATAGGGTGTCTTAGGTGACTCATAGTGGGTTGGTTTTAGATTCTAGATTTACAGTAAGTTGGGAAATTAAAAGGGAATTTTTTTTTGTCTCCCATCTCTCTCTTTTAAGAGTTGGAGCTGCTAATTCTTGTCCTGGGCACCTCTGTGAAGAAAATTGGTGGAGTTTTCTGGCATAGACTTAGGGAAGGGAAAACTTTATTTGATTCTTTCTATTGTTCAGCAACTACTGAAGAGACTGGAGGAAAAGAAGAGAAAATATGGCGCTACTATAATACTAATGCTGACATCTGCATTCATTTGGTTTCAGGTTATTTGAAAGAGGATGATTTAGAAGCCAAGTGCAATATGTATACATAGTTGCCACTCTAAAAATGGTTGGTCAAAGTCCTTGAAAGCCATAGAACTGTATTTTTTTCCCAAATAAGGAAACTTGGCACATCCTGCTGTGTTTTAAGCTAGTACAAATGTAGTGCTTGCTTTATTGGCAATACATTGTCCTGCTGCCTTTCCATAGAAGTGCTGAAAGCTATTTTATCTCTTCCAGTTTTATTTTTATTTATTTTAAATTCCAAGTTGAAAGAGAGATAGCGAAGAATGATTTAGTTCTAGGATATGTTGCGAATTTAGTGGCTAAAAGCTACAAATAACAATATTATGTTATAGGTGTGTGGGTTTGCTGCTCTGTATAGTTACATGACTTGTGCAATTTTTGAAAACAGATGCTTTGCTCATTTTAGGCTAAATCTTTTTTTACCTGTTTTAAGCAATAAAAACTCTTAAGAACAAGCTTTTCATACTAGAAGGAATTAAGGCTCAGTTTGCGTCACACTGAATCTGAAAATATTGAATTTTGAATGACTAAAATCACTGATAATACATGACAAATGGCAAATTCTGTACAGTCTAAGATTTGAGCAGCATAACAAAAAGTAAGCAAGTGCTTAGGATAACTTAAAATGTAGGAGGGATAGGCTGAAGTTCTCAGTGATGGACATTCATTTATGATTGGTTGATTTCTAACCTCTCTTTTCTCAGAAAAAGAGCAAAGATGATTTGCTGGAATCCTTCATTA